GTAGGCCAAAACTTGTGAACCTCTAGCCTTAATCTCCTAGAGTATGTGGTCTTATAAAATAATAGCTTATTCTAAATAGCATACTGAGATAGCCAGATATCTAAGAACCAGTAGAAGTTGACCTAGACTCAGAAATTATTTGATATCTATTCTATTCCATTCTAGTGGTTGCAAAGGAGCTGTAAGTCACTATTAGTTTCCCGCTGCTGCTGTAACAAATTATCACAAAATCACTGGATTAAAGCAACACAAATTTATGAAATCACTACCTTTAAGTCAGAAGTCTGAGTGATGTATTTGGTTCCTCTGCTCTTGGCCACACACTCTGGAGGAAAACCTGTTTCTAAGCTCTCAGGTTGTTAAAGAGTATCACTTGAATCCTACGGCTGTAGAGTTGAGGTCCTTTTCCTTGGCAGCAGTCAGCTAGGAATCTTGCAACACTAAGTTGAACTAAATTTCCTTCTCACATTGTTCTTTCATCTTCAAAAAGCGATAGAGCTTAGAGTATTCTTGTGCTTTTGAATTTCTCTGGCTTCTCTTTCAATTGCATCTCTTCTTCTGTCTTCCAGTGGGGGAAAGTTCTCTATTTTTAAGGATTTGTGATCAATTTGGGCCCTCCTAGCTAATTTCTTCCTATTAAATAATGGAACTTTACGTCATCAAAATCACTTCTTCTCTGCAACAATATATTCACAGGATCTGGGGACTAGAGAATGGACATCTTTAGAAAAGTATTCTACCACTACATTTAAGAAGAATTAGACTCTACTGCTACTTCAAGAATGATAAGGATAAATTCTATTAGAACATGTAGAATGAGAGATTTTCTTTTAGCCATTTTTGGAAAGCATTATCTGCAACACTGTCTTAGTCTGTTTTGTTTTTCTTTTTTTTCGTTGTTGTTGTTGCTGTGCTATAACAAAAATACCCCAAATTGGATGTTTATGAAGAAAAGAGGTTAATTAAGCTTAGTCTGGAGATTCAAGAGCACTGGGTTCTGGCAAGGGCCTTCCCGCTGTGTCACAACATGGTGAGAGTGTATGCAAGGGCAAGTGATCACATGGTGAGACAGGAAGCCAGAAAGAGTCAGGGATCAGATTTGTTATAACTTGCTCTCAGCTGAATGAACTGGAGTCTCATGGGAACCACATTAATCCCTCTGGAGGGCAACATTCCCTATGACCCAACTGTACTCCATCAGGTCCCACATTTTAAGGGTTCCTTAGCTTCAACATTGCTACACCAAGAACCAAACTCCCAACACATATAATTTGGAGAGACAACAAATTATAATAATGAAGCAAAACAAGTATGACGTGATAGGGAGGAGAGAGAAGAGCTAAAGAGATCAGTGCCCCCTCTAAAGACCTAAGGAAAAAAGGGTGATGATGGCCTCTAATTCACTGAAATGACTTCTACAAAAAATGAATAATTTATTTTAGATAATTAAATTGTAAATGACTGCAAGCTAAGCCACGGAGTAGCCCTCACTGGTGCTGTCATATTAGAGATGGAATCTTTCCTACAGTAGATGGATACAGCCTCGAATACATAGCATAGATTCACTGATTGGGTGATTGTGTTTCTTTCTATGCCAAGAGAAAAGGTGAGAACCAGTTTGGGTCCATATATGATCAACAAAATAATACATTTGGACCTCTGTAACAAAGCACAGATTTTTATGTCCTGTTTTAATTTTATGTCCTGCTTTCCCTCATGACATAGTGTGAACAGATCCAGCCATCTAGATATCTCAAAGAACATTATACTGATCCAGTCCATTGATTGTGTTATCTTTATCAGGCTGGTTCATCAAGACATGGATAATACATTGGAGTTTTTGGCAAATCATATCACTTCAGCAAATGGGAAATACATACAGAAAAGTTTAGAAACCTTTCACTTCTATAAAATTCCTAGGGATACAGTGATCCAAGGTGTGTTAGAAGATCCACTAAAAGCAAAGATAAGTTATCAAACTTTGCAGGTATTACCATAAAAAAGGAGGTATACTGTTTATTTCTTTGAGTTTGAAGGTAGCACATTTTACACCTGCAAACACTACTATGGTCCATATTCTGAGACATGTGAAAAAGTGTTGTCTTTGAGTGGTATCTGGGAGAAGAAAAGTCCCTGTAGCAAGAGTTTGTGGCAACTCCTGGTGATACAGCCACAATAAAACATGAAAACTCACTGGGGTTCCAAGCCATGTTATATACAACATAGTATTTTACACCTTTTGAAAAACATTTGGCTACTTGGCTCTGGGAAAGATAGAATGGGACAGTAAATGAGACATCATATGACCATGAACATGGAACTGCTAGCCATCAGCTTGATCCTACCCAACCCCCAAGTCACAATGTCAGAAAGACCTAGTAAAAGTTTACTATAAATTAGTAGTGATGGACATGAATGAGGCATGCTTCACCCATATACCTCCCATCCAACCATCTAGACAATTGCTATGACTGGGTTAGCTCAGCTTAGTCAACTGCCCTGCAGCCTCATTCAGAGAGTCTTGAAAATCAGTGATGTGGGAAAATTCTTCTAATGGGAACACCTTCAGGCAGCGTTCCTGGCCTTTCAAATTGGATAAACAAAAATGTCACCTGAGGGTAGTATATACACAGACTTGTGGGCAGTGGAAATGAGCTGGCTGCAGGGTCAGACACCTGGAACAAAAAACACTGGGGGATTAGAAACAATACCTGAATAGAGCTATCTGCCTGGAGTAGAGTTGTCTAGATAGAGAGAAGGGAGTGGTCCTATAGTGTAAAGATGTTTAAATCACATGTTAATGACCAGCAGCAGAGTATTCAACACTAAACATTCATGTTAGTCACCTTTCTGTTACTAGGATAAAATACTTGTTTTACACAATTTAAAGAAGAAAAGGTCTATTTTAGCTCTCATTTCCAGAGGTTTTAGATGATGATCCCCTGGCTCCAAGGCAGAAATATGCTGGCTGGGTATGACAGTAGAAAGCTGCTCATCTCAGGCAGTCAGCAAGCTGAGAAGGAAGGAAGTGCCAGAGGAAATATATTTTTCAAAGGTACGCCTCCAGTAACCTACTCCCTCCAGTAAGGCTGTGCTCCTGAATGGCCTACTCTGTTAATGAACTCATGAATGGGTTTATACATAGATGAAGTCAGCACCCTTCTGATTCAGACACCTCTCTAGGCCCCGTCTCTGAACACTGCAATGTGGAGGATCAACCCCTCAAACCGTGAGTCTTTGAAAGATACTTCATATTTAAACCATATCAAGTCAATCAACAGTTACTCAAAGTGACTAGTAATTTGATGTCAGCCAGCTTGCCACTGGCCACCCAAGATAATTATGATGAATATTAAAGAGCCCATGGGGAGACAACTGAGGCCATGGTTGAAAAATATGGACTATGACCTACCAAAGCAAACCTATGTAGAGCTTTTGCTAAGTATTAAACCAACCACCTATAGAGACTGATGCTAAGGGCTGATATTGCACCATTCCTCAAGGAGCCCAAAGTTCAGCTTTATAAAAAGCTGAGTATGTTGGCTCCCTGTAACAGAGAACTTGACACTTTTTTCTCCCATGGACAGACATATGTCTCATCAGTGGAATTACCTTTTCTGCATACAGGATCTTGCCTAGTACTGTTATCTGAGGGCATCAAGTATATGGTCTCCACATAACATTATGTCAGACCAGGGAATGTACTTTTTAGTGAAAGAGATGCTGGACAGAAACTGTGGCTCTGTTACCTAATAGTCATTATATTACTGAATTCAGAGGTTTCTGTCCTAATAAAGCATTACAATGGACTGAGGCAGGAACAGCTGAAGTACCGGCTCTGAGACAACAGTCTTCAAGGGTGTGGTGTCATTCTCCTGAAGGCACCATTCTTAGTTCAGTCATTCTTATGTGGGGCTGTGTTTACAGAATCAATGAACAGGAGTTACCTCATTTACTTTCACTCTCAATGATCACCTAGAGATTTTATGTTTCTGTCTCTACAACTTCAGGCTTTGCAATATTAAAGTTCTTACTCTGCAAAGAAAATGTTTTTCCAGGTGCCATAACAAATGAAGCATTACAGAATAAGCTATAGCTGCACCTGGACACATTGCTTTCCCCGATTTCAGGGGAGAGCAGGCAAGAACGAGAAATCACTTTGTCGATAGAAGAACCGGACTGACCTCCAGAGGAAGTCAGTCTGCTATCGTACAGTGGAGTGGAGGGGGATGTAAGGAAGGGACATCTGTGTATCTCAAGTCATCCATACAGCATCTACAGATAACCCCTTATTCAGTTTTGACAATAAATAGGTCCATCAATTACAGGATGAGGAGGAAGTGGTGACCAGAGGCTCAGGTATCTGGTTCACACCACCAAATAAGCCAATGAGGTCAGCAGAGGTGACATCTGGGGATGAGGAAAGTTGAGAAAGTTGTGGAGAAAGAGGACTAATGAATACTAGTGTGAGTGTGACCCCCAAGTACAATGGTAGGAGCTGTTAGAAATCTCATTAGCTTTCACTCTTAAGATTTCCTCAAGAAGACAGGCCCACTGGAGTCCTGCTGCACTAAGAGTTGCTTCTAGACTGCACATGGCAAAGGAGATGCCAGTGATACAGTGAACTGTGACAGATATGAAATTGCATGGTGCAGATGTCCTCCCCAGAATGGCTTGCTGTGGCAGAAAGCCTGCAGTGTCGGCTCTGAGACTTCAGTTCCTCTTAAAGAACAGTGAATAGCTTACTCTCCATATGGTGATTGAGCAAGGCAGGTGTGCAAAGGCAAGGTGATTTATCCCCAGCATTGCTACTTAAGGCATCTTGTGTTTGGTGCACCTGTGTATTTACTGTCACTATTGGTGAAGGGACCATCAAAAGGTGAACATGTGGATCCCCTACATGCTCCCCACAACTCATGCTGAATTTGCCAAGATGTTGTTAGGCACCTATCACATTTTGATTACTTTCTTTGTGAAGTATTGCTTACTCCTTTTCTTCTTTTTCACAATCACCTTGCCCATCAAATGTAGTGTCATTGTTTGCTTCTGAAGAAACTGACGGGTGACATAACAGTTTATAAATGAGTAAAGAAACCAAAAAGTATTCTCTTATCTTTGTCTTTAAGTTCCACATTCAAATCACAGAACAGCATGAAATTCCTGCATAAAGAATACACAGAACCATTAACCCAGCAGTAAAATATTTTTAAAAATTGAAGAGAGCAATCTTTCGTAACCTTCTAAACTTGGAGTGTTCTCTCTCTGCCCCTCCCTTAGACTCTCTCTCTCTCTCTCTCTCTCTCTCTCTCTCTCATCATGGAACCTAATCCACAGCCTTTACATTAAGCTACATTCCCAGATGTATATAAATTAAATTTATATGTAGATTTTTACTTCTAGAAACATATGTAAATAAATTATGTTTATTTTGAATATTTCATTTAAGCATTGTGCAGCATAATTTGCTTCCAAGATAACTCATCCTTTATAAGATAAGGTCTTATGAATTTTGACAAATATGCATATCCCTGTAACAACTACCACCACATTCAAGTGGATTTTTAAAAAACTTCTGTAACTCTGTTCCTTCCTTTTGACACTTTATCCCTTTTCACAATCTCACCAGTATTTTAGACTGACTCTAATTTAGTGGCATTAGAGCAACTCTTAAGAGATGGCTCTTTGCCACATTCTGGAACATCTTACATTTACCCCAGAAGAATTTCCAAGGCAGCACGACATGATGTGTTAATCCAGCTTCCACATTGCCTAACTCCAGGGCTTTACCTCCTGCTTTCCAATCAGTTGAGCTAGCTCCTTCTTTGTCAGAGTTCATCGCTTTAAGATTCTCAAACAGTTCCAACTTCAACTAAATTATCACAGAGAGGCTCCAGGACTCATGATCTCAAACGAATTTATGTCTGAGGTCTAAGAATTTGAGGATATCACTGACTTTCTCCCTATAAGCTTTAGATTTAGGTGGCATACTGCTTCATTAAAATGTAAGTTCACTCAACAAAAATACATTCACTATAAGAACTTGCATGAAAAATTAAGGGTAAAAAAATTACTTTTGGACAATGGAAATTAATCCTAATTCATCTTCATCAAGCTTAAGATGCTTAAGATACTATTCTAAATGATTTCCCTATATATATTATTTTTCCTTCAGCATTTTATCTTTTGCAAGAACATCTCTATTATCTTTCTTCCTATGAAACTGATTTTGTTGTTATTGTCATTGCTGTTTTTCCCAAGTTTGAACCTAGGTGTGCTCTCACACAAATATTTAAGTAAATTTTTATTTATTTTTTTATATTTTACATTGAGTTTATTAGTACATTTTGGGTATGCAGTACAATTACATTCATTATTGAGATCTTGTACCTTTACATGGCAGATCTTGGTTCTCATTTTTTCCCCTTGTGCCTGCCCTCCCTTCACCTCCTCCTCCCCTCCCATCCCCATTTACAAACACTTTATTTCCATTTTTTCATTTTCTCATATTTTTTCTTTTCCCTTATTCTCTTTCCGCTACCCTTCCTACTTTCCCTACACCTTCAGCCCTTTTCTTTCCATTTCACAATGTCAGTTATTTCATTAGGATCTTCTGTACTATTACAGTTTATTCACACCAGAGAAACTATTCGGTATTTACACATGTGTGACTTATTTATTTCACTTAGGAATATATCCTCAATATGTATCCATTTTCCTATGAATGACTCTAATTTCTCATTCTTTATGGCTGAGTAGGATTCCATTTTATAGAAAAACCACATCTTCTTTATCCAATCTCCAACTGATGGGCAAATGGGCTGTTTCCAAGTTTTAGCTATTACAGACTATGTCGCTATAAACATAGGTGCTCATATATCACTGTGATATGGTTCTTTTAATTCTTTTGGAAAGATACCCAGCAGAGGGATGGCTGGGTCAAATGGAACCTCCAGTCCCAGCTCTTTGAGGTATCTCCATATTGATTTCCATAGTGGTTGCACCAGTCTGCACTCCCACCAACAATGGAGAAGGGTTCCTTTTTATTTATTATTTTGAGACACAGTCTTGATAACTTGCCCAAACAGGGCTTGAATTTGTGACTGTCTTGTCTCAGCCAGGTGAATAGAAGAATTAGAGACTTGCACTACCATACCCCTTGCCTATGAAACTCTTGTAATAAAAATGAGAAATTAGTTGCAGATGCCTACAAAATATTCCTTTGTGTGTATAAGCTACATTTTAAAAATCCCAACAGTGGAATACTGTTCAACTATAAATAAAAAATCTTATTATTAACAAGAGCATAGATGAACCTGAAGGATATTAAATTAAAAAACGAAGTACAGAAACATGCATGCTACATGATCTGACTTATTTGTGGAATCTAAAAAAGTTGGTCTCTTAGAAGGTAGAGAAATGATGACCAGTGGCTTGGTGTTTGGTGAGATAGTATTCAAAAGATACAAATTTACACTTAGGAGGAATAAGTTCAAGCAGACTATTTAAGACTACAATTAATAGGAATAAGTTCAAGGAGTCTAAGGCATGATGACTATTATTAATGACTATATTTGCATTCTCAAAGAATGCTGAGAGAAAGGACATCAGGACTTATGATTGTAAAACTGTGGAGTTATACACATGTTACATAGCTGGATTTAAACATTTCACAATGTATACATGCTTCAAGGCATCATGGTGCACTTAATAAATATATACAATTTTATCTCTCAATTTAATAATAAATGAATTTGGAGAAAAATGAAGGCTAAATAGAAACCACATATAGAAATTGTGTGACATATAAATAAGTATTAATATAAAGTAATGTCTGTGTTCCCCACTCAGTGAGATATAATGCTATTTTTTTAAGACACACTTTCCAAAGGAAATACAGACAAGCAATGTTTGCTTTTCCACTATGGCAACACTTTGTAGTTCACATGACATTTTCCAGTCTAGTCTATGTTGTAATAGGAGAGGGTGATTTTGTGATTAAAGGAGTCATATGTTATGTTCTTTCCACAGTCTAAGAAAAGAGATTTAAGTACGAAGTGCTCCTTGCCTTATTGTGATATAACAGCCTAGATATGCATGAATTTCCAAAGTTGAATGAAGATGACTTAAAAATTCTAAATGATTCAATATCAATCAATGAAATTGAAAACATAATTAAAACTTACCAACTAAGAAAAGTCTGGGTCTTGATGGCTTCTCTGCTGAATTCTACAAGACATTTAGAGAGGAACTACTGTTTAAACTACTACTACTTAAACTGTTTAAACACTTCTGCTTAAATTCTTCAATGAAATTAAAAGTGAAGCAATACTCCAAAATTTATTCCCAGAAGCAAGTATCGCCTTGATTCCCCAAAGCAGAGAAAGACTCAACTAAAAAAGAGAACTATAGGCCAGTCTCACTAATGGACATAGATAATGGACATTCTCAATAAGATACTGGCAAATACAATGCAGAAAATCATCAAGATCATACACCCTGACAAAGTGGGATTCATCACAGGGATGCAGGAAGAGTTCAACCTATGCAAATCAATAAATGTAATACACTATATTAATAGAGCCAAGGACAAACACCTTATGATAATCTCAATAGATGCAGAGAAAGCATTTTAAAAAGTCCAACAAGCATTTATGATAAATGCTCCAAAAATTTGGTAGATGGTCTCTACCTCAATCTGATAAAAGCCATCTATGAAAAACCAACAGTCAATATACTACATGGTCAAAAACTCAAATCCTTTACACTAAAATCAGGAATAAGACAAAGATGTCCATTATCACCACTTCTGTTCAATAGAGTTTTGGAAACATTAGCCAAAGCAATTACAAGAGAAAGAAATACAAGGAATAAAGACAGGAAATGAAGAAGTCATTATCTGCAAATGATAAAATACTCTATTTAGAAGACCCCAAGAACTCCACCAAAAGTCTTCTAGACTTAATAAACAAATTCAGCAAAGTAGCTGGATTCAAGGTGAACACAAAAAAATCTACAGCTTTTGGTATACAAAAAACAGACTCACTGAGAGAGAAATGGGGCAATAAATTCCTTTCACAATAGCATTCAAAAAATTGAAATACCAAGGAATCCACCGAATGAAAGAAATCAAAGGCCCCTACTCTGAAAACTATAGCACTCTGCAAATAGAGATTGAAGAGGATATCAGAAAATGGAAAGACATCCCTTGCTCCTGGGTAGGAAGAATCAACATAGTGAAAATGGCCATACTTCCAAAGCTGCTGTATAGATTTAATGTAATTCCAATTTAAATTCAGCAACATACCTGACAGACCTTGAGAAAACAATCCAAAAATTCACTTGGAACAAGAAGAGACCTAGAATAGCAGAAGCCATTCTATGCAACAAAGACAAGGTAGGGAGTATCACAACTCCTGACTTGAAAATTATTTTAGAACATCACTTTCTAGGTACAAGAGTAAAATACTTTATAATAAGAGACTGCTGTCCTTTGCAAGTTGAAACTTGAAATGGATGTCTAACTAGTCAATATACATAAAAGTAGAAATACTTGATTGCAAGAACATTCTGATAAATGTTTCCTGTGATTTGAACTAGTTACTACCCTTGCAGTGGTTTTTACTAGCCAGACCTATATGTAATATCAATAATGGAATCAAGGATTTCACAAATACTCATCAGAAGTTTATTATGTCCAGCAAATAATAGATGCAATAGATATTTTATGAGTATTCACTATGTAACAAAATGTATGTTAAAATTTTATTATACATTACCTCTTTTAATCTCCACAAGAAGACTATTTTGCATATTAGGAGAGAGAGATTTTTTAAATAGTTTGAAATGGATTCACAATATATGACACTTGAAAACATTCTCTTCTTGGAACTGGCTCTTATACTGGCTTCTATGACCCTGAACTTTCCTGTATTCCTTTCTACTTTTTGACCCAGGCATTTTCAATTTTATTGCAACACCATCTTCTTCAATATCTCTAGATGCTAAAGTTTTTTTATGTCTTGATGTTATACTATTTTTTCATTTTACTTCATATGCTTCTTTAAGTAATGTTCTGTATGTCTGAACCTTAATTAAATTTCAGACAAGAACTTGCTTTGTAATTATTGTCAAAATTTTTTTAAAAAAAATCTTTTTAATAAATATTACTGAGAAAACTGGGTATTTATACACAGAAGAAACTCTTACCATAGAAAATGTCCACTTAAAATGGATCAAATAATTAAATGTAAGATGAAAAACCATGAAACTACTAGAAGAAAATAATAGTGAAACATTTCAGGACAGAGATTTTTAAGATATGATCTCAAAAGCAAAGCAACAAAAACAAAGAGAAAGAACAAAAATAAAGAGAAGCACAACCAAATAAAAATTTTCTGTATAGTAAAGAAAACTGAATACTCTTAATAGATAACTTATTCAAAATGCATAGGAAGGTTGAACAACTCAATAGCAAAAGTATAAATCATTTAATTAAAAATGGGCAAATGACCTGAATAGACATTTTTAAAAAAATACATAAAGATATATAAATGCCCAAGAAGCACATAAAAAATGTTCAGCATTAAACAGCATAAAAATGAAAATCAAAATGAAATATCACCTCACTCTAGTTAGAACTAGAAAAGTCAAAAAATAACAAGTACTAGTAAGGAAGGGAAGAGCAGGGAAATCTTATGCACTGTTGGTGGTAGTGCAAGTTATGGAGCCAGCCACAACAGAGAACACTATGGAACTTCCTTAAAAAGCTAGAAATAGAGCTATCCTATGACCTAGTAGTCTCAATAGGATATAGATACAATGGAATTGAATCAGTGTGGTGAACAGACATCTACACTTGCACATTTATTGTGGCACTGCTCCTAGTAGCCAAAATGTGGCATTCACCTAAATGTCCATTGTAGGGTTAATGATGTTTTAAAAATTGGAATATATATACCCAATGGGATATTTTCTTAACCCTCATTTGCAGGAACATAACACAAAACTAGAGGACATTACAGGATATTAAGTGAAGTAAGTCAGACAGAGGAAGACAAATGCTGCATGTTTTCACTTATCTGTGGAAGCTAAAAACCTAATCTCAAAGAAATAGTTTACAGAACAGAGGCAAGCAGAGTGCAGCAGGGTGTGGAGGAAGGGAGCTTGTGAGCAGTGCATAACAGGTACAGAGAGGCAGTTGGACAGGAGGGACAACTTCTGCTGCTACTACTATCACAGTAGGGTAACTATGGTTAACAGTAATTAATTGAATGCTTCCAGATATGTAGTAGAGAGGATGTTGAATTCTCCTGACGCAAAGAAATGATACATGTTGAAGTGATACTTAATTACTCTTATCTGATCATTATACATTGTATACATATATTGAAATGCATGGACTTTATCAAAGTGTACCATTATATCAATAAACTACATTTTTATTTTATTTTTTATTTTTTGGTTTTTTGAGACAGGGTTTCACTATGTAGTTGAAACTGACCTGGAACTCACTATGTAGCCTAGGCTGGTTTTGAACTCACAGCGATCCTCCTGCCTAAGCCTCCCAAGGGCTCGGATTACAGGATGCGCCACCATGCCCAACTAATAAACTGTATTTTTTAAAAAAGGTATTGTCACTCTTTGACTTACCTTCCCTGAAAGCAGGTCAGAAGATAGGCATTCCGGAGAAGATTTGCTGCATACTCAGGGAAAAGGAATGCTATAGAGTGTCCAGAAAGAATTTGAACACAAAGGCCTTTCTGGGATTTCCTTTGTTTCTTACCAATAGATCATACTCATCTTATCTAATGAGATTTCTTTGCAACTATTCACTTCTCTCATCTGACTTAATATAAACAACAATTTTTATGGGTAGTAGGGTCATCATTTCCTGAGTAGTAGGGTCATCCTGTCTTAGTCACTTTCTCCCCGTTGGGACACAATACCCGACACCCTCAGTTTAAAGAAGAGATTTATCTTGGCTCACATTCTTAGTCCACAATTCCATGGGCTCCAAGGCTGGAAAACATGGAAGGGCCCAGGGGTTGAAAAGCAAAGAGAATCAAGGGATGAGACTAGAAGGAAAATATAACCTTCCAGGCCACACCTAGAGTGACCATCTCTCCTGATCAGGCCCCACTTCCTAATGTCCCCATAATCCAATCACCATCCTAAGGTACGGCCTTTAAACCTTTAAGCCAGTGAAATTTTGGGGAGACCTACAGATAATAACCATATAGCTGTTATGTCATATCAAATTTTGGCTAAAAGCATCTGTGTGCATTTCTTTTTCTTTTTTTTCTTTTTATTGAGTTTACTGGTACATTCTAGGTATACAGTACAGTTACATTCATTACTGGGATCTTGTACCTTTATATAACAAGTCTTGGTTCTCATTTTTTCCCCTCGTCCCTACCCTCCCTTCACCCCCTCCTTCCCTCCCCATTTACAAACACTTTAATTCCATTTTCTCATTTTCTCACATTTTTTCTTTTCCCTTATTCCACTTCCCCTACCCTTCCCACTTTCCCTACACCTTTAGCCCTATTCTTCCTATTTCACATTATTAATTATCCCATTAGGATCTTGAGTACTGTTATAGTTTTTCACACCAGAGAAAGTATTCGGTAATTATACATGTGTGACTTACTTATTTCACTTAAGAGTATATCCTCAATATGTATCCATTTTCCTATGAATGAATCTACTTTCTCATTCTTTATGGCTGAGTAGTATTCCATTTTATAGAAAAACCACATCTTCTTTATCCAGTCTCCAACTGATGGGCAAATGGGCTGTTTCCAAGTTTTAGCTATTACAAACTGTGCCACTATAACCATAGGTGCGCTCATGTCATTCATTTCTTTTGCTAATCTGTTTTTTGTTATAGCCAAGATTTTTGATCCACAATCCTTGTGATACATGAGGAAAAGGTTAGTGCCTTTGGTGTCTGTGCTGGGAAAGTTGAAACACAAAGACTGAATATATCTAGGGTGCTACCACAGGCCAATACATTTTTTTTAAAGAGAGAAAATTAAGCCTTTATCATTTTAAGGCTTCTATTATTTTTAATATGTGACTCTAGAAAGCTCGGTATAATTCCTAGTTGACACTACGATCCTACCCTGTTTTTAGAATTTGAATGAAAATGTATCAGCCACCTGGCACACTTCTGAAAGTTAAATGGGGAACACACATTGCTAATTATTAATTCTAATTATTATTACGAAGCACTTATTTTAAACCCAGACTAAGAAGCTGTACTAAATGCTCCTCCAACACACAAAGTCCTAGGTGATCTTTCTGCTTTGCCTCTTGTCACCTTGTCGCTGCTCTGCACACACTATGGATTATCTTTCATTTCTTAGACCGTGTTGAGTTCTTTCCAGTCTTTCCCTTCACCTATGCTGTCCCCACCTCTAGGTTACTTTCTATTCCCTAAAGATGTCACCTTTCAGATCTCAGCTCAAGTATCATTTTCTTAGCAATCTGAGCTGCTAGCTTTGTTCTTGTTATATGCCAAGTATCTTTTCTTTAGAGTGTTTACAGCACTTGTCATATTTATTGATCATTTTGTGCTGTTTACTGATTAAAAATTTTCTTTTCTCTAGATGGTAGGTTCACAAAGGCAACAAGAAAGTCTTTTCATTGCAGTAATAAACAGGAACTGCCAAAGAATAATAACTGCATCTTGAATGTCTAAATACATAATAGGTACAGAATTATATATGACATTTTTCTATTTACTATACTTAAGATAGTCCCTCATAGTTTGTGTTTTATTGTGTACATCCATGCTTCCTTCTCCATTCTCTGCTTTACTTGGTAGAAAAAGGTGTAGATAGAGATTCAAGAGTATTTTATTACTGGGTACTGGCAAAGAGTGGCTATCAGATATGTCGTGGGGTTGACCTAAATTTTACATGCAAATAGAATCTGATATAACTAGAGCAGAAAACTTAAAATAACTCTATAAATGTATATGTAATAAGATGGAAGCTGAATTTACTGAAGAGGCCAGCTAAATGTATAAAACTTGTAAAAGTTCTTAAAAATACAATTGATAATGTGAAATAGAAAGAAAAAAAAGGCTAAAGGAGTAAGGGAAGTGGGAAGAGTTGGGGAAAGGAAGGAAGGGAAAAGAAAAAAATATGAGAAAAGGAAAAAATGGAAACAAAATCTTTGTAGATTGGGAAGGGTGGAGGGGTAAAGGTGGACAGGGGAATGGGGAAAAAATAAGAACCAAGATATACCCTGTAAAGGTACAAGATCCCAATGATGAATGTAACTGTACTGTATACCTAAAAAGTACCAATAAACTCAATGAAAGAAAAAAATGATAGGAAGCTATAGTTTTGAACTAAGCTCCTGAATTAGGTCCTAACAGATCAAACCAAAATGGAGTCACTCACGCTAAGTGCGATGTAATCCCACTGAAATTTTGGGGGAAGTAGGAAAACCTTCAAACTGTCCAGTTTTTCTTAAAAGTAATTTTTTTCAGCAACCAATCAGATAAGAGTAGTCAACCTGAGTTGGCATGATAAGAAAATTCCCTCTGCTTCGTTATTTATTTTTATTAGTATATGTTTGCAATACATAGTGATTACATTCAGCTTGGGTGTTTGATACATAAACATATCACATCTTGATCATTTTTACTAGTCTGCCACTCCTGCCTTTGGAAATCAATGTAGAAATTGCTCAAAAAACTAAAAATAGAAATTCTATTTAACCCAGATAAATCTTGGTTATCTTTGCAAAAGAGCTAAAGACATACTCTACTGATACTTGCATGCCTATTATTTATAACAGCCCATTTCATGATAGCTAAATCATGGAAGTAACCTATGTTCATTAACTGATGAATAGATAGGGAAAATGTCCTGTACATATACATACAATGGATTATTACTCAGCCATAAAGAAGAATCATTTGTAAGAAAATGGGTGGCTCTTAAGACCATAATAGCACTGGTAAATGAAATAAGTCAGGTGCAAAAGTTAAATATCATATGGTTTCTCTAATTTGAGACCCTTTGCTTTATCATTAAAAAAAGGAGACTGAAATAATCTAATGTTAACCAATCTGCTGCTATTATTATTATTATTATTATTATTGTTCCTTTCTCCTATTCAGGCTACCTTACAAAAGCCAACTGTTCTACCCAACACAATGCCTTCTATTTTTTTTAATGGGATTTTGCCAGGTTCATGAATTGCTAATAAAAGCAAATCAGATCTGTAAAGTAAATTTGTTAGAATTTTGTGTTTTAAATAATTGGCTTCAGGAAGTTTTATATAATTATGAGTTGGTTTTGGCAGCCAATTTCTCTCTATGTAAAATTTATGAAAGCTTACTACATTATAAATTAGATATAGTTTTATTGTTTTTTAATTTTTCTGTTGGAAATTCCAGAAAATTTCTGGTATTCTTTTAATTGACTCAATTCTTTTGGTAATCTTTCTATCTGAGTAGACTATTATCTTTGGTAAAATTTCTGTCTTTGTTAAGTATTTTCTAGGAGACAAACATTCTTATAAAATAGCCCAATTTTTTTGTTTCATTCTATAAATTTTTTCTAGCCCTAACCATAAATTCTTATTTTCTCACTTTAATTCTATATTTTATCTTTCTTTCTACTTATGCCTCTGTTTATTTCTTTGTTAAATCACTGAATTAAAGTCCTTCCTAGATTTTCTGCTGTTTGCCCACCGCCCCTCCAAACTTATTTCATGCACAGCAGGAGGAACTGTTCATCTAATATAATACAAACAAGTACTAATAAAAAAGGAGAAAATCACATTTCTTAATTATGTGTTCTGTTCATTTTGTTTCCAAAACCAAGTTCCTAGCATATTTTATGTCTCAGACTTTTGAGATATCTATTGAATCTTTGTCTGTTATGTAGTTAAGTTGGTATGATTATTTAGGAAAATATTATATAAAAATATTTTCTGAAATATTTCAAGTTATCATTTAGTAATGTATATGTGTTACCTTAAATATTACATAGACGTGTCTACCAGTGGAATTGATTAATAATTACCATATTTTAAAGTAGGCATTAAAATATTTCATATTTTATCATTTAAATTTAATGATTTTATCAGTCAACTAGTTTAGTAGTTTCAAAGTTATAGGTTCTACTATAGTTTCTTGATTTAAAAACAATGCTAACTTTAGTCAGTAGTTAGCAAAAATACTGCCCCATAAATTTTATCTATGGATCCCAAGTTAATAATTCCTATTTTTAAGGATAATCAGTCTATTTCGAGCAACCATGAAAAGAATGTGTTCATTACACAAATATTTTTATACTAATATTGCTGTGGAGATTGAAGCCTGTGATTGGCTTTTGAGAAATTTGTATTCTGGTGCAGATAGGTATGTAAACAAAATATAAAACTAAACATTAAAATTAAGTTATTATATACTCAAAGTATTAAAGATTCTCTAAGTGACAAGTGGAAGAATTATGGGATAGTAGAAAATGTTAAGTAGACAATGATGCTATATATTTTGGTTTGCTTTTTAAGCAGGACACTTTGGCAGCCTTACAGAGAACAAAACGATTTGGAGACTAACGATGATAATAACGGGGATAATTATGATGATGACGGTGTCTGTGTTTATAGGAGGATGGGATTGAACAAGCTGCTCAAAGAGCGTAAGGAATTTGATAAATTATGAAGACTACATAGATTATTACACATACAATGATGCTGTCTGTCAAAATGAGATAGGTAAGAAATGTTGGTTTAATAGAAAAGTTATATATTCCCATTTATAAATGAAAACCTGAGGCATTAGGTGAAAATGTCCAGCAGGAAACTGAAACAACAGAAAGAAATAAGCACGGTGATGCCTATTAAAGCAGAAAACAAAAGGAAAGAACCATGGAACAGATTAACTTTTAAGGTGTAGCAGAGAAGCAGAAATGGCTTAAATAACTCAGAATTCTCGAAGGTAAGGGAAGATAAGGGGCAATTGTATTTTGGGTCCTTGACGAGCTTGATACTACGTTCTTTTATCCTCATTGAGTGTTCACACTTAGTGTTGTAAAGAAGATTTAATATGGTACATGTTTTCACTTATTCATTCTTGAAGAAACTGACACAAATTTGACACATAATTTTACATTTATCTTAAAGATAATGGTATACAAAAATGAAGCACTATTACTTAATTTGAAAAGTAAACGATATACACTTTCATTGTTTTCTCACTGTACTTTATTTACTTAAGTTTTAGTATTTGAGACAGGGTCTTGCTGGCCTTCAACTCCCCATGCAGCCCAGGCTGGCCTCAAACTAGCTGCTATATTCCTGCCTCAGCCTCCAGAGTGCTAGGGATACAAAGCATGTGTCACTTTGCATCATGTTTTTACTAGTGCATTTACCCTCTGGTCAGTTTTGGACATCTAGTTTTGCACAGTTATGAGCTAGATTTTCTCCTCCAGTTACTGTTTTTAGTCACAAAGCATCATGATTCTCTTTTAGTCTTCATTTGCTTTGAACATTAAAAATAATACTAATAGCATAAACCTCTTTGGCTAGTTATTGTTTCTCATTTCCTCCGCAATTTATTTTACCAAATTGTTTTTCATATGGAAGGCAAATTATTTTCCCCTGTGTACTCAGAAATAGGAGTTTCAGGGTATTCTTATTAGGTATTCTTACAGGATATTCCCATGTATTCTTATTACAGGTAGGTTAATATTAACATAAATCAGACTGAGATTTAAAAAACAGAATTAAACATCTACTTACAAGTTTTGCTGAGTCTTTAAAACATTTGTTTGGAATCTTGAGGATGTTTTAATATCCTATTGTGTGGGAGAAGTTCAAGCCTGGCTGGGCCAGGTGCGCTGCATTTTTGTCTCCAGCGCTAACTCGGAGACCTCGCTAAAGCTGAGGTAACTCTTCGTTAATTGCGCAGATGCTGGGTTTAACAGAATATACCTCCGCCCCTAGGCCGTAACTCCTTCGCCTAGCCCAAGAAAAATCACTCCGCCATGTCTAGCCAATAAGATATTGCCAAACATTAAATGTTCCTCCCATGCTCCGCCCCCATGGTTCCCTATATAAGCCTGTGCATTTCCGGAATAAAGCGGAAGCGTTGTGGTAGCATTCCAGAAACCTTTGTGGAGTCTGGCTGGTGATTCTGCGCCTCGGCTGGAGGACTACACCACTACTAAAATAAGGTATTATTTTACTTTTTTGGATCTGCTAATCTACTGTAAAGTATTAAACAGACTTTTTTATTTGGTACAGGGGATCAAATTCAGGACCTTGTGTTTGTGAGGCAGTTGTCTAACCACTGAGCTAAATTCCTGGCCCCCGACATACAATCTTTTTTATTTCCCTCATATTAAAATCTTTATGTAATAACACTTTCTAAGCCTTTTGTGTAAATACCTTCCAGATTTTAGGTATCTTTATTAAAGTTATTACCTGTTTAAATGCAATAAAACTGTGTGTACAGAAGTATAAATAAGCTGTAAATGTATACAGCTTTAGTTATTAAAACAGGAACAACAATTAAACCACGCAGTCGAAGGAAAACTGAGTTCCAAAGAAGGTTCTCATTTACTTTTTTCCAATTTTCATACCCTTTTTCAGCCTTTATGTAATTCCCTCCTTGTTGTGCTTTAATATTTCTATACTCCAAAACACATTCCTAAGCAGTACAATTCAGTTTTTGCTACTTTAAAACTTTAAATTACATATGCAGTAATTACTTTTAATTCTAATCATTTATATTTGTTAATTTCTGTTTTTCCTTTCTCATTTAACATCTAGTAGAACATCTGCTACTAGTATGCTGAAGACAAATTCTTTCATTTCCTTATTTCTTAAAAAATGCTTTTATTTCAGGTTCTTTCTTTTTTGTTGTTGTTCTTTTATTGAGTATATTGGTACGTTTTAGGCATACAGTACAGTTACATTCATTATTGGGATCTTGTACCTTTACATGATGGGTCTTGGTTCTCATTTTTTCCCCTTGTCGGTGCCCTCCCTTCACCCTCAGGTTCATTCTTGAAAGAGTGTACTGACTTACAAAATATATAATTTCAGAACATTGATAAGTTATTTCACAGTCCTTTATGTACATTAAGGGGACAGCTGTCAGTCTGTTGCTATTGATCGCTAACTATTCAAAAGAGTGTATATTTTGTTTAATTTTAAAAATTGTTTTATGTGAAGCCTGTGTTCCAAAATACACAGAATAGCATTACATGAAATTAAATACCTATTATTTTCTAATAAAACATACAAATAAAAAAATACACATACATAATTTTCCTCACCTTTAGTGTAAATAGATAAAAGTTGAACCAATATCCCAAAGATTGACTTTTTTTAATCATTGGAGCAAACATCACATTTACCCATGCTTCCTTTAATCAGTAGTAGGTACTGATTTGATCCTTAGAATAATTTTATCACTAAATTTGTCTATGAATTATGCAGGAAAAAGTAAGGCTATTACCATTTTATAGATAAGGAGAGAAAAGTACAGAAAACTGAAGTTACATATTCAGAGTATTCTATTAAGGATGATTCTGTAAATAGAGTCCAGATTTTCTAAATTTTAGTTTGAAATTTTATCATACTGTCTTCGAAGAGACTATAGAAAATAGTATTTTGTAAATATATATAATATAAATATATATAATATAAATTTTACTAAATATACAATTTTGACATTTTCCTCTCAATGACAATTTAGAAAATAAGAACTATTATTCTCAGTACATAAGCACACAAGGTTCTTTAATATACTGTCTCTCAATCTATAATGTTTAATATTTCATTGTTCTATAGAAATTCAAATGTGACATCTTCCAGGAATTTGAATTTTGCAAAATGATTCCAGATGCTAAATTTTATCAATATCAAAATTAAATTAATTTAATAGTTATACACTCCTATTAGCTGATATTTCATCAGAATTAAGAAATGTGACTATGAAAAATAGAATGTTAGAAATACGATTTTTTAAAAAGTTGCTATAGGTAGTATGTTACACTTGCTTTCTCTGAACACTCACATCATCTTTCTTGTGCAAATAGCTAACACAAACTGACAACTTTATGAATATTTCTACTAGAAAGCATAACTCAATTGAACTTTTTGAATTAAGGAAACTGAATTTTCATTTCTTATATAGCGCCAAATTTTCATAGGAAGTCATATTTTTATTATACAAGATAAATAAAGCTGAACTCCTGGGTGTCAATGCAAATCACTTTATAAATGTCTAATAACATCTAGCGTGATACTCAAAGTGCTCTAAATGGATTTTTATATCCTAGGCTCTGTTAATATAAACTTATTTTCCAATGAAAATTCCTCAGTAAAAGCTCATGTGAAGACTGTGACAAAGTCCTCCATTAAAAAACCTATTGAATTAGATTCCTTTTTAACAATATTTACATTTGTAGAAGTATGGAAGTTTTAAAATCAGTAATACTATAACAATTCATTGTTTCTTGGATCATATGGTTATATTCATTTTTCAAAATGAAATATATCGTTATTTTGACAAAATTCAATGCATAAAACAATACTGAGAATATTCTTGAAACATAGTTGCATACTTTAAAAAAATGATTGCTTATTCCACTTAGCAAAAATACTAAAGCAAAATATATTAAAATAGAAGTAGTATTTGCACATTTAAATATTTTGTGTGATTAACTTCTTGAAATAGTGTGGAACAGAATTTTCTATTACTACAAATTCCTTTAAAAGGAAGAAGATAAATCATGCTGTCTTAATTTATATCTTGTATTACTGAGAAGCTATGCTAATTTACAAATATTAAAAGCTATGTTCATACAGTAATAATAAATGTAAAATGATTCATTAAAATGATAGTCAAGTAATGGATACCACATCACCAAGAATATTATCAAGAGGAATTGAACATCACCTTTAATACAGGTCAATGTGTTTCTGATATTATAAAGTTACAGTTATTACCCTCATCCCCTTTTAACTGTGTTATGTTTGAAAATCAATTTTACAATCCCAGCAAAATTAAGGGGAAGACGCAGAGACCCCCCCCATGCATAGCCTACCCCATTATCAATATCGCCACCAGAAGGGCACATTTATTATGATGAGTTTACATTGACAAATCACACAAAGTCCATAGTTTACACTAAGGTTCACTCATTGTATTCTACATTCTATGGATTTAAACAAATGTATAACAGCATGTATCCACACTGCAATACTAAACAAGGTACGGTCACTGAGGCAACAATCCAGTGTGATCTGCCTCTTCTTCATCCTTCACTTCCATCACCACCAGGACCTGGTGACTACTGATCTTTTGAATGTCTCCATAGTTTTGCCTTTTGAAGAATGTCATTTAGTTGCAATCATACAGTATATAGGCTTTTCAAATTGGCTTCCCTTATTTAGTAATGTACACTTGCTTCTTAAATGAAATTAACATTTTATGTCCTTATGAATATTTAACATTTGATTTAGAAAATCTCTTTGTATTTTTACTTCCATTTGCAAATACATATTGTCAGCACCTACTATTAACTATTCTAGAGTTCGATGGTCTGGCACTGAAAAAGATACATAAGCAGGATCTTTTGGCCTTTGGATCTTACATTCTAGTAGAAGATAGAAAAGTTCACTAGATATTACAAAAATAAGTAACTGCTAAGATAAATAAAAGTCCATAAGGCAGCAATTGAGGGTGTGGAAGAAATCAAGTGTGGAAGAAAGTTAGTTTAAACTACATGATTAGAGAACATTTCCCAATAAAGGGGTTATTTACTATGTGAACGTAAAGCAAAGTCAAAGAAAGGTAATCATAGTGGAGGGAAAAGTAGTCCAGGCAGCAAGAACAGTGTTTGGAAAGGCTTCAAGTCAAGAATATGTTTGAAGTTTTCAAAGGTCTAAAAAAAAAAGTACAGATTCTGTTGTTTTTCCTGATAATAACAGAGAATGAATGATCTTCAGAAGACCGGGAGATATGGCTATTCTAGGGTTATAATATTTGGGGGGTTATTTAAGAATAATAATATTCTAAGAGCTCCACAAATACACTAGTCCTAAAAGTACATTTCAAGAAAAAGGGATAAGGGAGATCTGTCAAAAGGAAACAATATGATTCTTTAATCCACTTTGCTTTGTTTATATCTATCTGAAATTAATTGTATGTCTGTGTGCCTTAGCTTAGGTTAGAAAACCAAACTTACCTCAAAAATCTATCCAAGTGTTTCTCTCTTCATTTAGTTGTATTAAAAAATGACACATAAAAATAACGCGTGACTGTCATAGTAGTTATAACCCTATTTTGATCTCATTTTCTATTGAGTACATTTCTCGGGGTCATATGCAGAATTGAAAACATAAAAAAGTGAGTATTGCTTTTGATTGTTAAATCTAGTGTTGTTTAAGGATTTCATGTTTACTTCTGTTATTCTAGTCTCTAAGTGGGCTAAAGCATATCTATCCATCCTTTGCCTTTGATTTCTCACCACTATAAAGAACTCATATCTATCTTAAGAAAGTTTTAAATACTTCATTTCAAAGAATCACATTATTTTTGTTTTCAGTAGATTATGTAGCTCAGTTAACACCTAAACAAAGGTCACAAACTTTCTTTCCTTCTTTCTTTCTTCCGTCCCCTCCCCCCACTCCCTTCCTCCCTTCCTCCCTTCCTTCCGATTAATGGTTTTGAAAAGATGAGTAGAAAACCATATGTTATATATTGAGACTGATTTTAGATCATTCTCACTTATTTAAATGTATCATGAGGCTAGAAAGATTTTTTTTTTATATTAATGATGACTAGGATGATTCTAACTTTTTGGGTAATTAATATTTTAAAATTCTCAGTGAATTTTATATGTAACATGCAATTTTAAGTCCACCACATTAGTTATGTGTCTTCTTGGGGAATATT